AACCCCCCCCCCCCCTCCCCCCGGTGTACTTCATCTAGATTGCTCTCCCCAGCCTAGTGGCTGCAGGCCACAAGTGTGGTCCTCAAAAAATACCATCTCATGTAATAGGTGGTGGGGATGCATTTAATCACACACCCCTTGGTGGTAAGGAAGTCACATGACCATGTGTTATGCCAAACGAAAGAAAGAAACTCAAATCTCAGCAACTTGATGCAATCATAAACTTCAACTGGCAACTCAATCAATGTAAGGACATGACAATGTGATTTTTAACTGCTTCCCTTTCACTTTAAAGGGTATGGAACCATTCACCCAGCCATCCTCTCAAAACCTGAACCCCATGAAAATGAAACCACGGGATACAGACGCGCAATAAGAAAGCAGACATCGACATTAATGTCATCATCTCCTTCACTTTTCCTTTGTGGATTCTCGTATCTATGCCAAAAAGAAATTCGTGAAATCCTTCAAGTATTTATCTTTTTGTGTGTGCCAAAACAAATAAGATACACAAAATTGTGTATAAGTTCAATATATATATGCATGCGTTGTCAGGAATAAGCAAAGCTGGTATGGATAAAAGCAAAAGACATGGATTGAAGAACAAATATGTGAGCACTTACAGGTGATGAAACAACAACAAATTGCCGGTTCTGCAAAATAAAGATGCAGCAATTTGCATATAAAAGCAATGATCTCATCGCGAAAGGTCAGATAGAAAATAGATGTGTCAATTCAATCATTTGTAGAAGCTTGCACAGGTTTCTATTTTTTTTGTGTGAAGGCCTGAAATTGGTGTTTTTGTAGTTTGGTTGGCATTGACCAAGTAACTTACCTATACCAGAAAGATATATTGAGTGCTGTAGACTAGGAAGAGTATTAGTTAGATTACTTGAATGAACACAACATAACTAGCCAAATATGTTAGAACCAAAACAATCTCTAGCAAAAAAGGCTAGAGAAACGGTAAAAAAACTGAAATATTTGTGAAATGTTCAGTTTAGGTGCAGGCATGTATTCAGGTTTCAACCCACACCATAAAAATTTGGTTGGCAAGAGGTGCTCCCGACCCTGGACAATAATTAAAAGTGGGTGTGCTTTCTTTTTTATTTTATCTTTTTGTGGGAGGAGGCAGGGGAGATGATATTAGATGTTAATAGAAGTAACTGCACAATTCTACAAAGCAGACCTAACTTGCCCAGTGCAGTATTGGTACAGGTGTGATAGGCGCATAAAGGGCTTTGAGAAACGTCATGCAAAAGAACTAGTCAAGAAGCACAAGATTAACAATAAAAACCAACTAACAAAGTCACCTTAGTTTTAGCCCTACTGATATTTGTGTCATGCTAAAAGTCTGATGATCATGTGTTGTGTATTGTAATGCAAGTGAAAATCACTTTAATCTTAATGCAGGCCGACAATAAATCAATCACATTCTCATAAAAGCCGAAAGGAGGAATACATTAAAAGAGGCTCAAGAAAGAAACCTTTTTAATTACGTTGTGACCTGTTGAAACTACCAAATCCAGATCAATGGGAAAAGTCATGTGAATCTAGGTTTAGGCATGGATGAACTATCATGATGCGTTGGAGCAAGCTTTTGAATCCAATGAAGAAGCCCTTTCTTATGATCATGACATGTTTGGTTTTGTACCAGATCTAGGGTTCCATCCCGGGCAAGTGATGACTCGAACTGCTCTAATACCTTCACCACCTGCCAGAACTCAGGCCTCTTCTCGGGGTGCAAAGACCAACATTGCTCAATTAAAGCTCTCATGGCATGAGGGCAGTCCCCAGGGAAAGCTGGTCTCAAATTCTGAAAGATCCCAAAAGCTATCAGATATTACATGATATATGACTTCTTAATCTTTTGTAATTTGAAAAAGCTGAAGGAAAAATAAAAGAAAACGAAGATAAAAAAGAGAGAACAAAAAAAAAAATCTAATAATATCTACTAAATGATTCACCCACACATATATTAAACCATGACGAGTTAATAGCCTTATCCAATAGCTATTCAACAAATTTACAATTACCAGTGAAGAAACAGAGATGCTAAGAGATCATGAGGCTTCTTGCTTTAGGATTAAACTCTGTTATGCTGTGATATATTTATCCAAAAGTAAAAAAACACTAATTGAATAGAAAGTAATAAATACAATGGTTAATTACACTAGAAGTCCTTAAAGTATGAAGTTTGTCTCATTTTGGTCCCCAATATTTCAATTGCATCATTTTGGTCCTTGAAATATTGAATATGTTTTTATATGGTCCCTCAAGATTACTAGCAATTTTTTATCATAAACTTGTCATGTGATACTTAAATATGGACAAAAAAATAATTTTAATAACTTTTGACCAAATTTTTACTCAAATTTTGGTTAAATAACTACTTAAATTACATAGTTTTTATCATCAGTTATCCAGATTTTAGTCAAAAGCCAATCATATTACATATTTTTTTGTTAAGAGCCACCCAAATTTTGTTAAAGATGTATCAAAATTATTTTTTATCCATATTTAAGTATTACGTGGCAAATTTATGATAAAATTTTTTATCAATCTGAATCTTGTCTGCTTGAAGGATCATATAAAAACATATTCAATACTTCAAGGATTAAAATGATTCAATTGAAACATTGGGGATCAAAATGAAACAAACACCATACTTTAGGGACCTCCAGTGCAATTAACCCTAAANAGGTATTACGTGGCAAATTTATGATAAAATTTTTTATCAATCTGAATCTTGTCTGATTGAAGGATCATATAAAAACATATTCAATACTTCAAGGATTAAAATGATTCAATTGAAACATTGGAGATCAAAATGAAACAAACACCATACTTTAGGGACCTCCAGTGCAATTAACCCTAAATACAATAACCATTCCACACACATTCAATAGCCAGTCACTAATGGCACAACCCTAACATAGCTTTCAGGGGAACGGATATGGCTTACAGCAAGAAGACATGGCTTAAAAGAAAAAATGTCAAACATCATCAGCCCCAAAAGATTATGAAGCACAAGTAGCCAAACTCACCAGAACAATATCTGTAAACTTACCATGTCCAGAGGTTCCCTGGTTGAATGCAGTAAATCTATTCCCACTCCTATGAGTTATACCATCGTAAATTGTGGCTTTGGCTCATTTTGTAAATTCAAAGAGGTTTAACTACCATCCTCCTCCCGAAAACACCCAAAAGAAAGGGGGGCTAAGAATTTTTCCAACTTAAATTCACACATGACAACATATGGCTACAACTTAACACAAGTGCACAAGGCTCCTGCTACTTTGGGGTCTAAGGAGGTTCAGATAACGATATGAATTATGAAGAATTATAAAAAAAAATAAAGACAAGAGAAACGAAAACATTAAAGTCCGGAATGTACCTTATTCACTACAGCAAAAGCAGCTTGGATGGGTGTCATATCCTCATAAGGGATAGTTCCAGATACCATTTCCCATAAAATGAGTCCAAACCCATATACATCAACCTTACGGCAATAGGACTTACGTTTGATCATCTCAGGTGCCATCCAACGATAAGTACCTGGGTCATCTGCCAGAAGATCATAGTATACCTCCTCACAAGCTATTCCAAAATCAGCAATTTTCAGTTGGAATTCTTGATTAATAAGTATATTCTCAGGTTTGAGGTCCCTATGAATAACACCTTGTGAGTGTATGTACTCCATTCCACGAGCTATATCCAAAGCCAAAGTGACTAATTTCTGTAAGGGAAGAGATCTATGCTCAAGCTTGTGCAAGTATGCCCTCAAGGACCCCTCTGATAGATATTCTGTGATAACACAATAAACGGGTGGCTTTCTGCATGCTGCTACAAACTGCTTCATGGAATCAAAACTTAACAAATTATAAGGAATTCAACAAAAGTACCAGTTCTCAAACAACTTCATATAATTTAAAGTTTTTCTACAATGAAGAATTACATCCATACGTTATAACTAACAATGTATCAAGACATATGGAACTGGAACAGAGCTAACTCCCAGCAACTGGACTTCCACAACAAATTAAGAGAAAATATTGATTGATCTACAAGCCAGAAGCACATAAATATGAAAGCGGGGAGAAAAAATTGGTTACCTTTATGACATTCTGATGGTGGAGTCGAGACAAGAGAATGACTTCCCTATTGAATTGTTTCACTAACCGAGCTGCTAACTCTTCATTTTCGTCATCATCTGGAACCCTGATAATTTTCACCGCAACAGGTTCATCCTTATATATCCCATGGTAAAGCTGACTATGTGCCCCATGAGCAAATCTAAGGCCAAGAAATAGCTTTGAAAGATCAACCATATACTCATCTGCTGTTTCCACAGAGGTAACCCTTCCTCCACCATTGTCAAAATACTTTGTCCACACAAATTCCTTCTTGTTCTTCGTTTTATCACTAATTTTCATCGAAGAGAAGTGCCTAAGGGGGCTAGTATTCAAAGGTGACTTTGAATCAAGTCCCTTGGTTCCTTGTGAATCTTTGTGAAACAATTTGCCTACAATCCACGTCTCATGCTCTTTCCTTCTAGGATGTGGAGTTGAGAATCTCTTTCGATTGGACCGAGCTTCCTTAAAGGTATCAGAAAGCTTGCTTTCTGGGAGAGGTGATACAGCCCTTTGCTTGTTTGTGACAGGATTTTGCTGAATCAGTACACTTTCTGCGCCTGACCTAGCATAAACAGAGGCTGTTCCGGGTCTTGATTTCACACCCGAAATTCGATTTGGCTGACTTGTGAAAGAAGCGGAGGCCAATCTTGCTGCATCCAACCGATGATAAATGGTGTGTGAAAAATGGGTTCTCCTTATCCAAGAATTAGCATCTTCCTCCATTTTTACTCTCTAGAAGACCTGATACCCACAAACCAAACTATTCTCCTTCTTCTCCTCCTCCTGCTGAGAAGAAGGTTTAAAATCAAGATTTTCCTCCAAATCCCGTGTTATAATTCAGAGAGCTACATATGCACCATTCTTTCCAATCCATCAAGGGATAAACCATGAAGGACAGAATCCACATCCATTGAAATATATAAAAAAAAAACCTTCAAATTCTTGAACAGAGTAAGCCAAAAAATATCAATTGAACACCACAAACATCATCACAGAAGCTCCAGAGTTCAAACCTTTTATCACAGATTCAGCCAGCTGTTCCTCAAAACTCAATCTACTTTAGCAAAAGAATAGACCTTGTTGAATCACAGTTCTGGGAACCCATCAAAACCAGTGAACATGAAGACCAAATAATACCCATCAAATCAACAAGAACCTGACCACAACCAACCCTCTTACCTCAAACAACAAACCATCTTTAGCTTCAAAGTCAAATACCACCTTCCTTCAAAGTCTAGAAAACCCCACGCACAAAGCCAAATAAATAAAAAAAGAAAGTACATAATCCAAGTACACAATTAAATAATCCCCAAAACAATACGTATGCTGAATTGGATTGACAATAAAGAAACACCCATCATTATAAACCCCATAAGCAAGAAAGAAAACTAGTAATTGCTTCAAAACAATCACAAACCCATCACACAAATNATACGTATGCTGAATTGGATTGACAATAAAGAAACACCCATCATTATAAACCCCATTAGCAAGAAAGAAAACTAGTAATTGCTTCAAAACAATCACAAACCCATCACACAAATACATAAATACCCATGTAAAGAAGCAACGGATCCGAGTATATCATACTTACCAAATGGGTATATATTTCACAATATTCTTCATTCCAAAAAATAAACAAAACCATCTATGACACACACATATATGAGAGAGAAAAGTCGGGCCTTGAGGTAATTTTCAAGAGGTGTAATCATATATTATAAAAAACCATTAGATATTTGTATAAATCACAAAACACCTATTGACAGAGAGAGAGAGGTACCATATGATATTACGCATGCGTAGTCTCTACGGAGGTGTAAATGACAGTAGANATATAAACAAAACCATCTATGACACACACATATATGAGAGAGAAAAGTCAGGCCTTGAGGTAATTTTCAAGAGGTGTAATCATATATTATAAAAAACCATTAGATATTTATATAAATCACAAAACACCTATTGACAGAGAGAGAGAGGTACCATATGATATTACGCATGCGTAGTCTCTACGGAGGTGTAAATGACAGTAGATGATTCCGTGGACCCGGTTTTTGTTGTAGAGGTATATGAGGGCGGTGGGGGTGGTGGGTGGTGAGACCCACCCGAAGGAAAGTCAGAGAAGACGGAGAGGAGAGAGAAAAAGGGTAATAAAAATAAATAAAAGGAGGTTACAGTACAATATATAAGAGTCACGATCAGAAAATGAAGTACGGAATAACAAACCAAAACACAGCTATGCTTACTTGGCTCTTGTAAACCCTGAAACGGTACGGNGTGGTGGTGGGTGGTGAGACCCACCCGAAGGAAAGTCAGAGAAGACGGAGAGGCGAGAGAAAAAGGGTAATAAAAATAAATAAAAGGAGGTTACAGTACAATATATAAGAGTCACGATCAGAAAATGAAGTACGGAATAACAAACCAAAACACAGCTATGCTTACTTGGCTCTTGTAAACCCTGAAACGGTACGGTACGGATACGTTTCTTGATTCGGTGCTAATCTAATTGCTTGTGGGTGTGGAGAGCTGGTGTCAAATGGAGTGAATTTTAATCCGTATTTAAATCCATTTAATCAAATATAAATTAATATCTTAATTTATTTTTTTGAATTCGATTAAAATTTTTTAAATTAAATTTAAATGCATGTAAATTCGATTAAATAATAAATATANGATACGTTTCTTGATTCGGTGCTAATCTAACTGCTTGCGGGTGTGGAGAGCTGGTGTCAAATGGAGTGAATTTTAATCCGTATTTAAATCCATTTAATCAAATATAAATTAATATCTTAATTTATTTTTTTGAATTCGATTAAAATTTTTTAAATTAAATTTAAATGCATGTAAATTCGATTAAATAATAAATATACATATGCATAAATACACACACGCTTGTAGTTAGATTATTAATGAGATTAACATAAAATTAAATAATTTTTTTTAATAGAATAATTGGTTGACAAAATTAGGTTAAAAATTAACTTAAAATTGATAAAATTATTAATTTTTTATGAAATTTTGTTGACATTCAAATTTTTAGATCGAATTGAGTAATCAAATAGATACCTGACTATTAACAAATGTGAATATGAATTAAAATTTTAAGATTTATCTAGTAAACGGATTGGAATCGGATCAAGACAGATTAATATCCGATACGTTGACAACACTAGTGGAGAGCTAGCAAGCATCAAATTTTTGTTTTGGTACATAAATTTCGACGAGTTTGTAAATAAAAATGTATCGATAATGTTTTAAAAATAATATGAAAATAAAAAAAAATTAAAAAATTATTTCAAAAATATTAGTTGAAATATATTGAAACAGATGAATTTTGATATTTAATTAATGATTCATTTTTCTTTCTATAAAAACAAAAACATTTCTCACATTTTGACTTTTTCGAAACGAAAATTTAGTTCATTGATAGAGTATGAAAAAACTGGGATTTTAAGGTGGGCCCAAATAATAACAATGACAAAAATGATGGGATTAATCCAGAAATTATAGTGAATTAGGTAAAGTTAGATCAATAAATTAAATCACAATAAAATTACTTTAGCATTAATATTTTTCCTGAATTTCAGCACTAGGAAAACCCTTATGGGCTTATGAAAAAGTCCTATCTTGGCCCATCTTGTGACATACTTTTTTTGGGCCAACATGGGTAGAGAACTTGATCCACTTCATACCCAACAACCAGCAGTCACCAGGGAGTTTGAACTACTAATTTGGGCCGTTCTGATAGGTACCGTACATCTATTTTTAATTCAATAAAAATTTGACAGGTGAATTTTTATTTTATTTTATTATTTTTACAACTAATGACTACCAATTCAATCAAATTAAAATCTACAGCTCTCAGCCAATTTCGCTAGGATACATATTTTTCTGGACACGACAGACTTATTCTAGATTGGCCCATGACTCCTGCTATTTAATGAGTCATGGGTGGACGAGGCCGCCAAGGGCCATTTTTCTTTTTGAAAGAAATAATGCTAATTTATTAATTTTTAAAAGAATTGATCCCAAAAAGAGTTGAGCTTGAATAACTTGACTCGATTATCAGTCTTATTCATAGATTATGTAATAAAACTTCGTGCACTAAAATATTTTATATATATATATATATATAACTCTTGAAATTATATGTCAAAATTGATTGTTGGGTGAGTTTGCAGGAACCGGGCTTGGTTTACGAGCCTTTTATGGGTAGGCTTTTTTTTCGGGGCAGAAAAAGGGGCTATGGGCCACCTCATGTGTAGCCCCAACCCATGAACGCTGCTGTTTAGTGATATCAAGGAGAAAAATTTTGTTTCAAACTTAAATTAGATAACGAATTTTAAAAACAACATGGATGGTGACTGACGAGCCTAGATTCATATCAGCCTGAATTCAGTTTATGGATTAAGCTCAAATCATCAAAAGTTCAAAACTCAAGGGTCCAACAAGAGTCAACATACGTGAGAAAGCAATCATTCAGATAGTTATAACTCAAAAATAATGTATATCCCCAATAGTAGCTATCATTCTTGATAAATTAGCAGTTTGACTTTCACGTCATTGCCACAGTTACGGTTTTGTGCATATAAATTGTAAACCTCCTNAAACCCTGAAACGGTACGGTACGGATACGTTTCTTGATTCGGTGCTAATCTAATTGCTTGTGGGTGTGGAGAGCTGGTGTCAAATGGAGTGAATTTTAATCCGTATTTAAATCCATTTAATCAAATATAAATTAATATCTTAATTTATTTTTTTGAATTCGATTAAAATTTTTTAAATTAAATTTAAATGCATGTAAATTCGATTAAATAATAAATATACATATGCATAAATACACACACGCTTGTAGTTAGATTATTAATGAGATTAACATAAAATTAAATAATTTTTTTTAATAGAATAATTGGTTGACAAAATTAGGTTAAAAATTAACTTAAAATTGATAAAATTATTAATTTTTTATGAAATTTTGTTGACATTCAAATTTTTAGGTCGAATTGAGTAATCAAATAGATACCTGACTATTAACAAATGTGAATATGAATTAAAATTTTAAGATTTATCTGGTAAACGGATTGGAATCGGATCAAGACAGATTAATATCCGATACGTTGACAACACTAGTGGAGAGCTAGCAAGCATCAAATTTTTGTTTTGGTACATAAATTTCGACGAGTTTGTAAATAAAAATGTATCGATAATGTTTTAAAAATAATATGAAAATAAAAAAAATTAAAAAATTATTTCAAAAATATTAGTTGAAATATATTGAAACAGATGAATTTTGATATTTAATTAATGATTCATTTTTCTTTCTATAAAAACAAAAACATTTCTCACATTTTGACTTTTTCGAAATGAAAATTTAGTTCATTGATAGAGTATGAAAAAACTGGGATTTTAAGGTGGGCCCAAATAATAACAATGACAAAAATGATGGGATTAATCCAGGAATTATAGTGAATTAGGTAAAGTTAGATCAATAAATTAAATCACAATAAAATTACTTTAGCATTAATATTTTTCCTGAATTTCAGCACTAGGAAAACCCTTATGGGCTTATGAAAAAGTCCTATCTTGGCCCATCTTGTGACATACTTTTTTTGGGCCAACATGGGTAGAGAACTTGATCCACTTCATACCCAACAACCAGCAGTCAACAGGGAGTTTGAACTACTAATTTGGGCCGTTCTGATAGGTACCGTACATCTATTTTTAATTCAATAAAAATTTGACAGGTGAATTGTTATTTTATTTTATTTTATTATTTTTACAATTAATGACTACCAATTCAATCAAATTAAAATCTACAGCTCTCAGCCAATTTCGCTAGGATACATATTTTTCTGGACACGACAGACTTATTCTAGATTGGCCCATGACTCCTGCTATTTAATGAGTCATGGGTGGACGAGGCCGCCAAGGGCCATTTTTCTTTTTGAAAGAAATAATGCTAATTTATTAATTTTTAAAAGNAATCGGCCAGTAGCCATTTCAACTACTGTTAACCCAATAACCTTCACCCAAATGGCCCAACAGCAACCTGTCAGGACCACTAGTGCCATGACAAACCCTTATCAGGCCTCACAACCTTTTGTAGCCCAATTAGGCCCAAAAGTTGATTATGTCAAAGCCTATTCTGAGAATGTCCTAGCCATTGAACTAGCCCATTCCAAATACAAGGATCCAATGGACCTTGTACAGGCCTACCTCCCAACAGGATGGACCTATATCCCAGTAGACTTGGANCTAAATACAAGGATCCAATAGACCTTGTACAGGCCTACCTCCCAAAAGGATGGACTTTTATCCCAGTAGACTTGGAAAAACCCCATAGTTTTTACCAAGATATTCTCTACTATACCAAATCCATATTTACCAAGCCCATTTATGATAAGATAAACCCATCTAAGGTTATCTATCATAGCTTGTATATTACCAAAATCATTTCTATTGATGAATGGGGTTCTCACCCTTCTTTACTCAGAGAACTTCCCTATCACAGTAGACAGTTTAATTACTATGACTACATTGAGTCATGGTCTAAAATACTACTCTACCAGAATGAGGATTTGTCCCATTCCTGGTTCATTAATNTCTATTACCAAGCTTATTTCTATTGATGAATGGGGTTCTCACCCTTCTTTACTCAGAGAACTTCCCTATCACAATAGACAATTTAATTACTATGACTATATTGAGTCATGGTCCAAAATATTACTCTACCAGAATGAGGATTTGTCCCATTCCTGGTTCCTTAATTTCCATAAAGATTTCAGGAGCCATATTCCTGCATGGTTTGTACAGTGGTGGCATCTACATGGCCCCATTGATGAAATCTTTCCAGCTGATCTTAAAGATCAGATTAATATCTTTTACTCCCTTTACCGTCCTAGTAAACAGGAGTCCCCATTACCTTTATTACTAATATTTTTATGCAGGTACAAAGTCCCGTGGATACTCAAATGGCATTGGGAAATTGTTGGATTCAACTTAACCCGACAATTCTATGCCAAATGGTGGCCCAGGTTTCAGCATAGCGACACTATCGCAATGGTGAGACGAGACTTCCCAGTAAGGGTACCAACTCCAGTAGTAGTCCCAGGCCCCTTACCACCAGCAACTCCAATGAAGGAATTGCCCGCTCATTCAAGCCAGGCTAACCTTCCTACAAAGCAAGTCCAGCCAGAAGAATCCTCATCTAAAGGATCTCTGAAAAAGTCTAGCAAGAAAAAGTCCAAGGCAAAGCTCCTCCAGAAGCTCCTTGAACAGCTTGACTCAGATAGTGAATCATCTTCTCAAAGTTCCTCCTCAGAACTCCCAGCAGGATATGCTCAGGATCCTTTTGAAGGAATTGAGGACTTTGATGTTGATGACCTCACACCTGACCTGGCACTCCCGTGAATTATTATTTACATAAAGTGGCTTCAATCACTACTTTCTTCAATAAAGAAAGAAAAGCTGACCACTCTGTGTAAACATAATATCACCGGTCTGCATAGGATCCCCTTTTCTAAAAAGCAGGATTCTCACAGACAGATCTGCTTTTCCACCGAAAGTAAGATGCCTCTGACAAGTAGGGCCCTCTAGTCCCTTCAGGTTGACTACTTTCCACCAAAAGCAGAGATTCTTCAGACAGCCAGGACCCCTAGTCCACTCTGCCTGTCCTTTTACCCAAGTAAAAGAATCTTATCTTACTTTCCAGCCCAAAAGTAGCCGAAAGTAATGAAAGAAACTTTTAAAGAATTTGAAGACTCAGTTGAAGTCCGGAAGCCCCTTTCCCTATATAAGGCAGCCTCCTCTTCTCTGTTAAGCAAGCTTTGAAAACTTCAGACCCTTTCTAGTCTGGTTTTTCAGAGATCATTACAAACCCCCTAGTTTTGTAATCATACNGAGTCAACATACGTGAGAAAACAATCATTCAGATAGTTATTACTCAAAAATAATGTATATCCCCAATAGTAGCTATCATTCTTGATAAATTAGCAATTTGACTTTCACGTCATTGCCACAGTTACGGCTTTGTGCATATAAATTGTAAACCTCCTACACATGGGGATAGATTTTACATATCTCACCTTGAGCATATAATTATTATTATTATTTTTTTTCTCTCTCTCATTAATAATAGAGTTCTTCGATCACAATTGTCGTTTTCAGTGGTTAGGTCACCCAAACCCAACCACCTAATCTTTGTCTTTTATTCTTAACTGTTTCATTAATTGTTTTACATAACACACTCAACTAATTTGATTATACATAAATTCACTTTTATACATCATTAGTGAGAATGGGGACCACAAACAATATGTAATAATAAAACAAAGTCCCGTGTTTGAACTAACCAAACTTTTCGGTTAGAAAAGCATAATAATAATACAGATTATTTAAATCCAACGGTTTGTATTACGATTGAACCTTTTAACCACATCAAACTCATTTAAATTTTAACTTAAAATATTTTAACTATGATAATTCATTTAAATTTTGACTTTTAACTTTCTAAGTACAATACCACACTTATATTTTAATTTTTTAACCATAATAATTTAATCCGTACATTAAAAAAAACATGTTTTGAACGGAACACTACTAGTGTAATGTATTGACAGCCACAGAAAACCTGGAAGCAGCATCCAGGATGGTGATGCTCAGGCATATCCAACGAGGTGGGTCCCGTGTTAACTGATCAATCTGTAGCAGTTCAAACAAAGGATAATCTCCAAATCATAACGTATAATGACAACGTTATTGCACATGTATTTCGATTTTTAACGGATTCAAATAAAGACTATAAAATTAAAATTGATTTGATATACTAATAAATTTCAGAATCAAAAATTTTAAATTAGGCTTGGATTCGAATTGATTTGATTTAAATCTGATCTATTGATCTCATATTTAGAAGAAAACTTTTTTATTCAACCACAAAAAAAAAAACCCCAAAAACTCAAATAACTTCATTAGTAAAAGGAAAATGGAATTCGCAAACATTACAACCTTAATTATGTCGACAAAAACCTTTGTATAGATGGTATAATCCTATGTTTACTCTCACAACTTAATATAACTATGTAACAAAAACTTTGTTCCTCAATCACACAACTTCAACGGCGGTACGATGCAAATTGGACAAGTTCTCCAGCAAATCCACAGTAAGCATCGATGCCCTCGGCCTAACCGGTCGGCTAGAGTATCCGGTGGCTGACAACGCCAGCGTAGACGTCGTCCTTTCGCATGTCCGAAGCCATTTAGCCTCCATGTACCTTTGCTTCCTCCATGGAGCCATATGCATTTTGTTCTCCTTCAAGCATTTCTTGGCACTTGAACACAAGATCTTAATTAAAGACACTAATCTTTCGACTTTTCCGACAAATATTTCAGGAAGCCTGCTTATTAGTCGGTTATATTCTTCATTTCCTCTAGCCATTTCAAACTCAGCTCGAAAATTTAACTCGATTATCACCTTTATCTCTCCTTTCTTCGAAATGGAATTGTCCACAACGTCCAAAAATGTGTGTTCACCTACACATGGATAAACTTCTAAATAAGATAAAAAGCTTATTCTATAAATGGAGAATCATTTTATTCGTAAGCTTTTTAGTTTGATGCTCATAATATAAACTTCAAATGTATTACTCAGAAATAACACTCATCGATGGGTAGAACAGTGAAAAAGTACATTGGCATTCCTAGTAAGAGTGAAAATTCCTAACAATGACTATGATATATTTTTTTATTCTAGCATATTCGGAATATCATGTACTAAATATTCTATAGAGGTAGGCGAGAGAAGATAGAAAAATAGCTGATCTACCACTACTAGGGGTGTCAATTCATGTCAAGACTCATGAAAAATAATCTATTTAACGTGTTCTGAGTGTCAAATATTAGTATAGACTATTTATTAAGTATATTTGAGAGTTGACATCCTTATCCACCACCCAATCATTAAGATTAAAGAAAGAGAAGAAATCAAAAAGTTTCCGTGTAAATAAGAAAAATTGGTCCACCCACTATCAAGGCACAAGAGAAAAAAAAGGGTGGGTTGGGGCTGGTAGAGTGAAGGTGGGGTAGGAAAAGAGAATTTTGTATTTTGTTCTTGATGTTTGGACAAAGAATAGTCTAGATAAAGCTGATAATTAATGCGTTAGCTACAATATTGAATGGTGGAGCGAAACACACCGCCCCTAACACCCATCGGCCATTGGTGAGTTGGACAGGAATGAGACACAACACGATGTTATTTATGATCCATTTGAATTGTCCCTTTGTGTTGAAAGTTGTCTTTTTAGGAGATTTTTTTTTCTTTTCAACGTCGAGTTGGAACTTAACTCTCCAAGTAGCGAGTAAACAAGTGGTTTAATTTAGTACTTAAAGTTAAGAATCAAAATTTTGTTTCAATGCATAATTTTGGTGAACTTGAAAATGAAAACAAGATAGAAGTAAAGAAAGTTTTTGGTCGAAACTTACCGAAATACCTCGAAACATAGAAATTTTGATATTCAATCAATGATTTATTTTATTTTCCATATAAACAAAAATATTTCAAACATTGCAACCATTCCGAAACAAAATTTATTTCCTTGCTTAAACTGACTAACTATTCTTACCGGATGGAGTTTTTGGTGAGCTCCTCCACTTAGACTTGCAAATGGCACTGTTTAAACCGGCGTTTTGAAGACTGCTGCAAACCTCTCTCATAAGACAGTGGCGGCAACCATGAGCAACCGGCGGTCTCCGGCAAGCGCAGACATTCTCCACCAGTTCCAATTCCTTGATTGCTTGCTTCGTGATGTTTCGAATTCTTGATTCTAAAGAACTAGTCCTGCACAATGTACCCTGCAAAATAGAGGTAACACAACTATTAGTTTACTTCTAGCATAGCATGGTAGGACAAATACAAAAAAAAAACCCGTACAACCCTCGACCTGGGTCAGGGGGCCGGGGGTCAGAGCAAAGGAAATTCCCGGATAAAAAGTTTATTCTTCATGATATAGTCGAGATTGATAAAACTTTATAGAATTTATGATGTTTGATGCTTTGTTGAATCAAGGTAATCAAGCAAATTGTGCAAGACTTACTTGTAGAAGTTGGTGTTGTGTCTCCCAGAAGACCTTGTTATCCTCGACACTTCCCAAGTTTTCTATCTCTTCATTTTCGTCTCGGTCCTCATTTTCACCATTACTTTTGCTACTATGGCTCTCGAAAGATCCTTGATGTTCTTCCTCTAGAAACCCAAAAACCGTATCAGACAAATTCATCGCAGGGTCTATAGAACTCTCGATTTCACCATCACCCCATGTGAAAATCCGACGATTCATCGGAATTCTCGCCAGTGCTCCGGCCATGGCCTGAGAGTGCAGAAGAATCACAACTGTGGTCACTCGTGCTGCTTGAAAAATTTGCAGTGCCAGCAGCAACCTTTAGACCAGGTTTATAAGAAAAGATAGGCAAATGGTGGGACCTACTGGGACCATAATTGGGACCCACTTGTCCTACGTGGACGAACATATCTTCAAGCACATGAGGGCTGTCCTGTCGTCCAAGTGACATACAACTATCTCTTGGACGATGAACAATAATACAGTCCAAAATGGTGGATCAGCCAGCAAGGATCCACGTTAATGTGGGGTCCAATTATCTGATCATATGGATATACTTGATCGAATATGCTAATCTTAAATTTATTATTATTTAATTATTGATTATTTTTTGTTATCTAAATCCTAATCTGATGGATAGTGGACCCCACACCAATGAGTGTGACAACATAAATGATACGTAGAAGAATCAGAGACGTTGATTCTTGGTTTATCCAATTTGGGGGTGGGGCCCTACTTGCTTGATTGCCCAACCAAACGCGGCGTCTTGCCCGTGCTTATTCTTTATGGGATAGTTGGAGGAAACTGCCATTCAAAAATGGGAGATATTGAGTATACTGAGGGGCATTTTGGTCATTAAATTGAATATATTATAATGATTTTTTTGGTTGATTTCAAATCGAATGAGAAAAATTAAATAAACGTGTGTTAAAAAAATGCCACTTGCCATGGCCACGAAGATGCAGGCAACAACCAGAAATGACAAATAATAGGCCAATGTATTGAAATAAGTCTTATCATAATCGGATCAAATTAAATCATTTTTTCAACATTGTATTATACTTTTTAATCAATGAAAATGTGATATGTGTATTTTTTTAATATTTTATTTTTTTTTTAATCAATTTTTCATATCATTCAATTCAAAATTAATGACTGATACCAATGACGGTACAATATTGATTTCGATATTATTGTTTCTTAACCTATGGTGTTAAATTGAACTTCATGCACAAAGCAGTGACAATCATATAATTTGGATTTGTTTGGAATCGTAAAACATATTGTGGAAGTGTAAGATCAAATGCTAATTCTAAAAATCGTTTTATTCACTTTAATTCTAAAAATCGTTTGAAAATGTTTCACATATTTTAGAATCCAAATCAGCGTCTTTTTTTCTTTAATTGCTCGAGCAGTATGATAGTACTACATAAGACTAATCAATACTAGATTTTCTACAGTACAAAAGACTTACAAATGTTATATAGGGAGAGAGAGAAGAGAGTACGAAAGTTTAAACATTAGGATGAATTATCAATGATACCTCATCTATTGGATTGTCTTGGCTTTATATAGGCAACCAATGAATGTTATTAAAAGACACATTTTATAGTGACATGTATTTTGGGTGGTAAAGAACACCTCCAAAAGATATGTCCCTTTGGTCATTTTTTAATTTGGATTGACCCACCAAAAACGTCCTAATTTGAGTCTATGATCTAACCAATATCTAACAAGATTAAATCGAGTCACATCACAAGGGAGTTAATATAGATAATGTCGGCCGAATCATGACCATACACTCTTTACCGTTGCGATTGTATAAGGAATTTCATCCTTTGGGTAGTCGTTTAGACCCACACACACAAAAAAAACAAGGTTATGAGAATTAAGGGTGGTTTGAATTCTAGATTCCTTTATTAGTTACTTCTCTCTTCCTAAGACATTATGCCTGTACTTAATCAGTATTGTACAACAAGGGTGTCTTTATTAGGGGGATTGGTATTCATGAGATTGGTTAATATATTCTATACACTTTCCATATTAAGGGAAGTTAATACTGATAATAAAAATGAATGCAATCTCATTTCATATTTGTTTGAACAATATATTTTATTGTAAAACCCACCAAAAAACATTTATTCTGTCGTATCTTATATAACAAATAGATNAATTTTTTTTTTATAAATAGTGTGCTCAAATTGATTTCAAATATTAAGTCAAATCATATAGTGTCTTCAGACACGGGTTATTGTTAGTTAATAAATAATGTTCTACCTCTTTATGTCCCACTTATCCTCCAAACAAACACACCCAAAGAGAATGGCTTTGACGTTTTGAGTTACATGGTTGATCAACATGGGATTATAAATTCGTTGATTATAGCTTGACAATGAATTTATAGACGGGTTCAAATTGAACTTAGATCGAGAATGTTATAACTTACGTTAAGTTCTAATTAATTTTTTAATCCGTCCAACCCACCCAAAAGTGCACCCCCTTGAACATTATGGTGCTTCACAGGTACACATACATACAAAAATAGGAGAAAAGAGATCCTATATTTTACAGGTAGAAAGTGGTTTGACTCAAAAGACAAATCCACCACAAAGGTATGTTTACTTTAACTCCTTACTTGGTAAACTTTCCACGTTCTTTGGTATCTATATTGGCATGCCAGTAAAGAAAATTTATTGTTTTATAAGTCGAGCGTGTAAATTTGTCTAGACACTTTTAACTAAAATATAAAAAAATTTACTTTAACTCCTTACTTGGTAAACTCTCCGCGTTGTTTGGTATCTTTATTGGCATGCTTGTAAAGAAGATTGATTGTTTTATAAGTTAAGGTGAGTATAAATTTGTCTAGACACCTTTAAATGAAAAATAAAAAAAAAATTGCAATATTAATAACATAATAAATCAAAGGCCAGGGTTATCCCACATCGGATAGCCTTTGAGTTGTGTGTGTGTGTATAAAATCCTCTGTCACTTCCATTTTTAAGTGAAAGTTTCATAGTAGTTCTTACTTTGTTCAAAAAAAGCAAGAAACTTGTGTACGCGTGCGTCTGCTTGACGCGTCTGTTGTGGGCTCAGTTGCATTCCTCCCGAGCCCGGCCAAAAATGGTTCGGGTAGGCAGTGCTTGTTACTAGTAAGACACCAACAAGGGAGTCTTGCTTAATTCTGACTCAAAACCACTCCAATGGAATGAAAATTGATAACCTAAAATCCTTCCTAATTATACTTTTGGTTGGACTTGCTGTACCACTAGTTTCGTAGTTATCAATTATGTCTACGTTTATGTTCAAAAAAATTAAAAATATGTGTACCTTGTATTCTGCCTCCACGCAACAACATCAATGTTTTATTGTGACTTAACTATCATGCAGTGGCAGAGCCACACAAGGACCAGCGGGGTTATCCTGAATATTTTTTTTATAAAAAATATCACTTATATATATAAAAAATTATTATAAGTATACTTAAATGTGTCTATTGTATTATTTTTTATTCTATCAATTAGTATAGTCATATAAATATATAATTATGAATTTTTGGACACTCTTTAAACGTTTTATGGATATATCTAAATAAATCTTTGACAGGTCCAACTCATTTTTAAAGTTATAAATATTTTGAAAACTAGGTTAAATAATATATTGAGTGATCAATGATTAACAACTTGACTGATTTTGTAGAGAAATACTATAGCATCTTTTATGCGGTTGGTCATCCTTTATTGTAAAGAGTTGTAATTAACCTTTTTTTTTATTTGTATACGTTACATTTATCGACGTTTGATAAAGTTTCTATTTTATGAATTTTGAAGTATCAAATACAATGCCGTAAATTTAATTACATTATTTTATTTTTATTGATCGGGAGAACAAAATTTTAAAGTTTCTTGACGAGCCCAGTTTTGGACCAGACATGGGCCCCCAGTTCATGAATTGAGCCCAAATTATCAAAAGGCAGACCAGACTTAGTTCATGGCTTCAGTTTAATCCAAAACTCAAGAATTCAAAAAGATCAACGCATGTAGAAAGTAAACATCGAGATAACTATTACTTAAAGATAGCATATGTCCTTAATTGTAGTTATCCTCCCTAAAAGACTAGTAGTGTGATCTTCACGTCACTTCCTTAATTAAGGCTTTGTGCCTATAAATTTTAAGTCTTCTACACATGAGGGATACACGGAGACAACTATCTCCCACACAGAGAACACACACCTCACTTACATACTCTCTCTCTCTCTCCCCCTACTACCTTATACTCTTTCAATAATAGAATTCTCTAGCCACCTATGTCGCCTTCAATGATTAGGTCCTCAGATCAACTATCTAATATTTGTCTCTTATTATTAATTGTTGAACAACACTCACTCGATTGGTTGATTTTGTATAAATTCACTTTTGTGCATCATCATTTTTAATTAAAGTGTCCGCCCTGTTTAAAATTTCTTGCCGCCACTACTATCATGGTTTATAGTTACAAAAATCACATCTCCATGTGTGAGGTTAAAGCATAGTACAGTTGCCTCCCTCTAAATCTCGCAATAGTAGGAGTCTCAAGCAATGTCTTTTTTATGTTTTATTGCATTCTCAACAAGCTTAGTTTTTCCTTTAACTTTTTGAGTCATGAAAACAGACATTTCTTTATGCATAATTTCAGAGTTTTTATGTTCAGCATTGTTCACTTTCCTCTACAATAGTTCAAGACTTAGTCTACCATGAAGATTTAAACTTGGTAGAAATTATATAAATGTCTTACCCTTTTTTAGTCAAACTAAACAAGACTTAGAATTTACAGAGGAAAGTAAACAATGGAGGTCGGCCTTAGAGTGATGACAAATGAACGTCGTAAGCTTNACCATGAAGATTTAAACTTGGTAGAAATTATATAAATGTCTTACCCTTTTTTAGTCAAACTAAACAAGACTTAGAATTTACAAAGGAAAGTAAACAATGGAGGTCGGCCTTAGAGTGATGACAAATGAACGTCGTAAGCTTGAATCCGAACAAGAACTTCATCAAGTAATATAAAATTGCTGTTATTGCTGCTTTTTTTTTATTAAAAAAGTGCATAGGTTACCTCCTAATATATTTTCTCTCGACACAANTCATTGCTGCTTTTTTTATTAAAAAAGTGCATAGGTTACCTCCTAATATATTTTCTCTCGACACAATTTCATTAATGTTTTAGCCTTATCCAGACGCAAGATCACAAAAAATATTTGTTTAAACTTCAAAANAATTTCATTAATGTTTTAGCCTTATCCAGACGCAAGAT